GTTGGATATTCATTAAACCAAAAGAGATATAAGTTATTCACTAGTCATAAAGAAGTTTGTAACTCCATGGGTATCACTTTTGTGAAAACCAACCATATTACAAAATTAGTATTCAGGGAGAGAAGAATACAGAAGAATCCCAATATTGGGACTCTACCACTTAATATCTTCATCCTCCTCCGATTAAACCTATTTAGCCTTCAGAATAGATAGATTGAGATAAGACATCTAGACATGAACCTGTCTACCCTATTGAAAAATCTAAACTTCTATACCAAATGGAACAAGAACCAAGAAGACAAAGAGCCACAACTATCTGACTAGAGTCATCAATCCAATCCGAATCTAAATCTAACATCACTAAATACTTCAGGTAATCCAAATTCAGATCTCTCCCTTGATAATCTGTATAATGATAGGCTTATTGTTTTAAGAAAACAAAAAAGAGCATGTACTGATCATCTAATTCACAATTTTATTTTATACAAATGTTTGTCATCAACTCACCAGATGTTTTATAACAATATTGATAAAATACATATACGATGAATGAGACATGAAGATCAAAAGTATCCGACTGAAAAATTACAATTGTGGAGGAAATCCAAGTTTTAGAAAAGAATGAGACTTGGAAAATACTAGAATTACCACTTGGGAAATATCCAGTCTGCTATAAATGGGTGTTCACAATCAAGTATAATATTGATGGTAGTATCAACATGTTCAAAACTCGATTAGTAGCTAAAGACCTTATTCAATCCTAAAAAATCGATTATCAAGAAACATTTGTACCATAACAATGCTTAAACACAGTCCGAATACTAATATCCTTAGCTGCCAATCTGAATTGATCAATATTCTAATTACATATGAAGAATATTTTTTTTAATAGAGAACTAGAGGAAAAAGTCCATACAAAGTTACCACTAGACTTTGAAAATCAACTCACTAACAGAAAGGTTTACAAACTCAAAAAGTCCTTATATGCACTACTCAAATAATATCCAAGAGCGTAGTTCGATAAATTCACTAAAATAATCAAGAGATTTGGATATGATCAATTTCAAACAAATCATACTATATTTGTCAAACATGATCCTTCAAGAAAAAAAAAAATCCCCATCATACATGTAAATGATATAATAATTAAAAGGAATGACATAGAGGAGATAATCAAATTCAAAAAACAATGTCATAGTTAAAGCATTTGAGATTAAAGACCTAGTAAATCTCAAATATTTATTTAGAATGGAAATTGCTAGGTCAAGGAAAAGAATCTCAACTTCTCAGTGAAAATATATGTTGGATCTTCTAAAAAAAGTAGAATGTTTGCACGTAGTTATTTAAGAAGTATCTTACTTTTTGTTCTCCCAATCACATTTTTTTTATAAAATTATGTACTTCTTTTGTATTTATTATTATCAAGTATTTAAAAAATTATAATTTAATTTTTTTACTTAACTTACTATTTTATTAATATTAATACATACTTTGTAAAAAATAAAAAATTCTACTTCTTTCCAATTCTCTAATAGTAGATAAATTAAATTGTTTTTGACATGAAAAGATTTATTTGGTAAAAAAATGATATATTATAACTTTAATTTTATTACATGTAAATCTTCGTTTTTTAGTGTAGATACAAGGGCAGTTAAATAATTTAATTTCTGTTACATTGTAATTTCTTCAGTTAATAAAGGGGGAGGAAGCATATACTTTCAAAGAAACTAAAGCAAATGTAGAATAGCCTATGCGAGAGGATATTAGTTTAATTTTCTCTAATAACAAAGTATCCTTGTTTTCAACGACTTTATACAGTTCCAGTAGCAAACCAAATAACACCTCGTAACATCCTTGATCATGTGTTAAAAATGTTATGGTTTTGAAGTGTCCACTGTGATAAACATCCTCATTCCTTTACCAATATTGATACCCAAAAGCTAGTAGCTTACCAACAGAAAAGCTTGAATTTTGAAGAAATGCACATGCAAAATTATCCCATGCCACCCAATATCATGTGTGCATAATACAGTGTTACCAAAAAGGAAAGAAACTTAAAACATATTCTTAATTGCCCTAAAAGCTAATTAAAAAGGAAACACAAACACAGAGCAGAAAGAAACAAGTAGGTTTTACACAAAACTGACAGCAGAGCCATTTTACATTCTTAGAAGAAAAACTGCAGCACCTCAATACCATAATACAAAATATATTTTATGATAACAATGGCACGAAAAGCAATTGGAAATAAATAAGCTAAGGAATCTCTAAAGTTCCAGCAGATTACTGACCGATGCATGAAGGATTTCTGTGCTTCACTCTCCAACCCTGCTATTTTATCAAGCAAAGTCTTGGCAGTACCTTTGCCATCACCAGAAACCTTCACGAGAAAATACAAGTTTATATCCAGAAAAGCGAAAATTTTCTATAGATGATGTCAAGCAGCTGGTTCCATTGAAATATCAAACAGAAAGAAACCTTCTGGACTTGCTTTGATCCATGGCCAATATCTATATAGAAGTCAGAGCCCTTGTTCTTTATCCAGCTTCCACCAGAGAAGAGGACAAATGGCATCCCCACATAAGCATCCTCTTGAATTTCTATCTCGCAGGATTGGACCTGAAATTCAGATTGGAAATATGAAGATTGTTCTTTTAATGTCTAGTTATCACATACTATAATATTAACATCTTAAAGACATTTTTTTCACTCAATAAACTTGTAATACATCATAAGATCTCATCCTAAATTATGGGGAGCTAAATTGGATTTTATTTGACAGACCTGACCAGGAAGACCAGTGGAAGAGTTAATTGAAAACTGTGTTTCTGCAGCCTCTTTTAGAGAAACCGAACCTGGAGGCAGCACAGCTGGAGGGGGTACCTGCAAAATTTCCATATATCTAAGTAAATTTAACGTAAAAGGAGGCAGCCATGACCATATATCAAAATAAAAAAGGGTCATTCATCATCCAAGTTGTTCATTAGGACACTACAGTGAAGAGTTTGAAGAACCTTACCAACCACTCTCCAGCCTTTTTAGATAAAGCCCAGTGAAGAATAACTGGCTCTTTGAAATCCGTAGCAAGATAAATCTTTGTCTTCCCAGCAGGCTTGGAAACAAGTACCTTGAAAATGTAAGAGGAGTTCAATTAAGATTGTTACTGAGAGCAAAACATCCATACAGAAGAAAATCAGAGATGAAGGAGCATGTTGCAAGCACATTCTTAACTCACCATAAGTTGATTATCACCAAGCTTGAAGACTTTCTTACTGAAAACAGACTTTCCATTCTGTTCTTCCTTAGACTTCAAAAAATGCTCAACTGCTGATATTGCTCTTTGTTCAACTGAAATTTCTGAGTTCTTCTCAACAGATTTAGCCACTTGCTTGTTAAGAAGCTGTGTTGGCTCCCTTTTCTTGCGCTGAATTCTCTCTGCATGAAAATATTTTTTCTGATCTGGCTGCTTCAAAATCTTGGTCTGTATCTCCCCTTTGGTTATCTTCTGACGTATTTCATCAAGAGAAATACCCTTTTCTAGTTCAGATTGTAATTCTTTTCTGGCTTCCTCAAACTCCCTCTAATTATGGAAACATCACTGATATCAAGGTTAAGTGCAAGTAACCAAGAACCTCTTGAAAAAAACAAATATAAGCAACCATGTTTCGTATAGAATACTAGCATAAATTTAAAAAAAAAAAATCCTAAAATAGCAGGTAGCATTAAGGTTAGAGAAATTTACAAGTTGTTGCTCTCTGGAGTAATTGGGTTTTCTTGCTCTCTCCCACCGTATATAAGCTTGTATTTGTACAAGTTCATCAGGTATCTTGTTCTTTGCTTGATGGACAGGATGCTCCTTGGTTTCCGATACATCATTTTTTTTCATAAGCTTTGCCCGAAGGTCATCCAGAGAAGTACCCCGGGCAACTTCCTCCAATAGCTCCATACGAGCTGCTTCGTATTCCTCCTATGACAGACAAAAATTGTTTCTTAAGTGTATAGAAAAATGGAAAGCCAGAAAAATCATGAAGCTATTTGCATTTGTTGGGATGAATTATTTTCAATCATGAGATGAACTTTTTGATTATTCCACGTAATGATTGTTCCGCAGAAAAGCAATGAGTGCATAAACAAGTACATTCAATTTCTGAACCCTTAAACTATAGATAGGTGAGTACTTCACTCTGATGTCAATATACTGTGTCTGCAAGCATCCAAATGCAAATAATGCCACATAGATATAAATTCAAAATTTATCTGATGTCACATAAGAAGTGGCTGCAATCAATATAAGAAATATCACTGTGATCACTAATTAGAGCACATGGTGATGACCAATTTAAATGTATATTTTATTCCAGAAAACAGAGAAGAATAGATCAAGCATCATTACATAAAAATAAGCGAAACTTTAATACTGAAAAATAGTTTGAAGCTGCACATAAAAAGAGAATAAAAATGATGCCATAGAAAATTGTCTTCTTCCAGAAGCAGAAAAAGGCAGGATAATGCAAGAAATGGAAAAGAAAGAAAAAATATATTTATATAGAAGTTTTCACATGCCTTCTCTTGCTCAGGGGTGTAAATCCTTTTTCCCTTTCGTTCCCACCTAAGATAAGCTTGCACCTGAACCAGATCTTCAGGAACAGAAACCTTAGGAAGCAACTTCTCTCCCATGGGTAATTTTATATGAAAGTTCTGCCCTTTATTTTTAAACCTTCAATATAAAAGTCAAAGAAAAAAGAAGTAGATGATTTAATCTCTCACAAAATAAACCTAGTGGATTCCTTTTAGTAAAAGAAGAAGAAGAAAGAACAATAGCTCACCATTTATTTTGGGCTTCATCAAAAATAAGAAACTCAATAGCTTGTATTGCTGGATCGTCAATCTCAATTTTAAGGTAGGAATTGGAACCAGACTATAGAGGAACATTTCACAATCATCAAACATCCAACTTTTATCACAGTTCATCTAAAAAATATAACTCCCCCAAAAAGAGAAGGACAAGTTAATTATATGTGTTCATTTTAGAAAGTTACCTTCATAAAGGGAGTTCTGAGGGCTCTGTTTTTGTAATTTTTAGTTTCATCAGGATGACGGGAAGGAAGTACCCACTTTCTAGTGATAAGGAAGAAAGGACATAAGGAAAAGAAGCGTCCCAAATATCTTTAAGTGTAATAAGGAATATTTGAAATTAAAGCAAACGAATCAAACCAGAGCTTAGCATAAATATAGCTGCTACTACAAGTGAACTTACTCCTTCCTATCACGAATTGCACCCCAATGTAGAAGTAATGAGTTGCTACTGTGTGCAATTTGAATATTAACTTCTCTGACTGAGCCTGGTGTGACAAGCTTAACATCAACCTGCTCAATTACAAGGTTGATGTGTTAATATAGTATTTATGATCAGAAAATTCTAGAAAGTGTTATCTATAGACCAAAAGCTAGCCAAGATTCCTAAGGCTGTAGCTACCTGCAATTCAATATTGCCATCAAGGTTGAATTTTCCTGCACGCTGACCAAGGGAATGAATTTGTTACATTTTTTAAAATTCAATTTAATCAAGTTAAAAAAATCTGAACCACTAATTCATTTGCAAGATGCACTTTCATGCATGCAGAAATCTAAAATACATTTTTCGACCAAAAAAAAAGGAAATATGAACTACATTAACACTCAATATCATCAGATAAGAGTAGCTCATATGCACACTCAAAGTCCATCTCTCTCATACATCACTCAGCTAATGCCTGCAAATTTGCATGGAGTACAATTGTTTGCATAACTCAAAGTCCGTCTAAAGGTATTACGAGAAATTATTTCAAGATAAGATATGGACTAGTAATATGCTAGATAAAAGTCATATTGCACATATGTAAAGTTCAAGAACAAATTAAATATTGGAAGTCAATAAATCTTGAGACTGCCAAGGAGAAAAAAAAACTATTAATCAGGGTCTAAAAATCTTCAAGTGAAATGAGACAACTATTTCTACAGGCTTTCAAAGTTAATATCAGTTTTCAGTACGCGAATCCTAACTCTGAGAGTTACGAGTGGATAAAAATTCCTTGATCTTGATAATGAATCTCCACTTTGAAGAAATGACTTATGTGGAAAAGATATAAAGAGATGGTACAAAAGCATTTATAACACAAAATAGAATAGACTGGCCCGTCAATGGGCGTAGACTGCAACACAACAAAGAAGTATTTTAGAAAACTTGGGAGTTGGGATCTTTTCACACATGGGAAATAATTTGATGAATAATCCTTAAGACTGAACATCATCCAGACCAACTTTCCAGAAATGACAATCTAACGAAAAATGTTGATAAACTCTCAAGCACGTATCTCTGAGAAAGACACCCACTTATGAGTTTAGTAAAACATCTAGTCTATGTTACACCTCTGTAATCCCTCTTCCATAAGATATACTAGCCACCCATTTTCTGTAAGACTAAATAGTAAAACTGCAATCATAGTGTAACCAATACTCTCTTTAAGGGAAAAATAGACCATTATAGGCCCAACAATGTGATAATAGAGATGATAAGACCAAAGATGTGAGAGTCACCATATGAACTTGGTTGTAATCTTCTTATTGACTTACAGAAATAATTAAAGAAAAAAAAAAAACATGTTTGCCCTGTATTTTGGAAAACTCAAAGCCAATCAGGTTTATTATTTTAGTGAGGATTACCTCAGAAGCTGGATCCATGGCTAATACAGCTTGTGGGACAATTTTCACTTGTCCTCCTGTTCCAGTGGTTAGTCTTGCTTTCTGCTTATTCAGACTGTTCCCATAAAATTTTTTAGATAGAAATGATTTGCCTATCTGGGCTGCTGAGTTAGTCACAGACCCAGGTCGATATAAAGAGTAAGGGTGAGTGCCAGATGAATGGAGCTTGCTCTGATGTTCTAAAACCACAGGACGAAGCAAGCTCTGTTGAAGTAAATTATGTCCTACGGTATTGCTCATATTCCTTGATGCACTTCTTTACCCTGAAGGAAATCCAAGTATCAGTAAATAGTTACTCGACAAAGGAGGCGGGGTAAGCGGGGAGGAGGGAGGAAAAAAGAATCAAAACAGAGCAGATTATGTAACGTTAAAAGCAAAAGTTAAATTCCAACAAGATTCGTTGAAAATGCGGTTACTTACAATAATTTCCAAGATTCAGTATAGTCAAAGTAATAGAACTCTATACCTAAAACTTGTTTGGCTGCCCGGAAAATGGAAATGGAAACGGAAGAATTCGCCTACGAAAACTAATTGACATGAAATGAGAAAAAATACCATTCTCCATCCCAAAAAGTATGGAATATTAAAGAATACTCCAGTATCTTAACTGATAGATACTCGTTTTTCCCATATTTTTTTAGAAATGAAACGATCATGAATTAACCATCAAATTAGACCATACGCAATAAAATCCTCTCCCATAGCGCTCAAATGAAAAAATAAATTCCCAAAAAAAAAAAAAAAGCAAACAAATGCAAATCAAAATTCTGATCTAGAATGTCATGAAGGGAGGAGATAGTTATATAACCAAAGGTATAAGATTAATGAAACTAATACCTCGGTTGGAGCTTGAACTATAATTAGCGAGAATATACGATCAGATTGTTCTGAAGAAGAGGTTTCAGCTGAGAAAATAGAAACTGGCAGTGGATCAGCTCTAAGTCAGTGAAGAAGCGCCAATCATAGAAAGAAATCAAACAGGGAAGCGAGACAACGTTTGGCATAGGTAGCGCTTTATCATGATCGGTGGACACGTGGCGAGTTTTGATTGGGCCAGGTCGGGAAGAAAAGCTCGGGAAAGAGAACTGGTCACGTGCGAGATGTGAGAGCGGGAGAAATGTGTGGAGAGGGTCCGTGAAGAAGTGGGTACTTATAGATCTGCCCCTTTAATTTCCCTTCGGATATTTTCACATGTTAGATTTTTTTTTTTTTTTCATTTTCTTTTTGCTCCAATCGTTGGTCATTTCCATAGAACATTTTAGAAAAATAATTATATAAACTGACAAAATAAGAAAAATAAATTTTAGATATTCTGAAATTGCGAATTAGAGTAGTGGCATTCAACTTAGGAGACTAGATGCAGTTGATTTGATTCATTGATGGATCCAAGATGCAGCATGCAAATATATATATATAAAATATATGTGAATATATATTATGTATAGGTAGATATTATATAATAATAGTGTTATATGGGTACGTGAAGTGAGACCCGTAATGTTTGAAGTGGCAGAGTGGGATGGTTATTATTATAAATATCTATTTTATAAATTTAGAAATTTATTTATTTATTTTATTTTATTTTATTTTGATTTGCATATAAAGAAATACGCCAAAACAAAT